TAGAGATATGCGAGCTAAGCTTCTTGCTACTACGCCGCGGAAAGAAGGAATGTTGCATTAAACCTATTCAAGGCCAGCTTTAACCATTCTAATTCATGCTGTAAGGTGCAAAATTATTCGAAGCAGACAATAGAGCAGTACTCCGTTGCTTTATTTTTTTTTTGTTTCTTGACATGTTTTCATAATACATATGAAGGATAATAAGGGTATGAAATGATTGAAAAAAGGAGGTATCAAATGATTGAAAAAAGCAAACAGAACTCAACCGTCGATACACCATATAATAGCTTCCTCACTTCTTTCAACATCCGCCTCTCTGAGTCGAAGTGACCATTATGGGAATGTGTCAAGTATTGAATGACTAGATGTGTGAACACCTCGATATCCAGTTTTTGTCGCTGTCGTTTATTTAAGGAACATTAGCAATGTAGTTTAGGGGTACATTATTACTGGTATGAGATAGAACTTGCTAGTTGTTTTGAAGATTTTTAAATGATACGATCAGCTATTTTTTCTGAAAGCACTTCTTGTTTGATTACACAACTTAGTGAATAACGAGAGCGAAATTATCAGAACTTATTCAGTTATGGCAGTTCAACTACTTCTTATGCTTTTTCTATTCTTTCCTCAAACAGTATTTATATCAGTTACTGTGGTTGATGCAAGCATGTTTTTGTTTTAGGTGTTCATCAAAACGCTCAACTATGCGCGGCGTTTATCAAGGTTTAAAAATCGTGAAACCATCAAAGCTGTTCGTGCTATATTTTCTCAAAAACCTCTGCACAAATTTGAAGTAGCACAAATTGTCAATCTCTGTCCTGAATCAGCTGAAGAAGCAAAGGTAACCTTACTATCTGATAGTGTTATGTGACGTCTCTAAATTCCACTTGTAGGCCTTGATCCCTTCACTTGAGAACAAATTGGAAGACGATGACCTCGACGAGATTTTGAGAGATCTTCACAGTAAAAAGACCTTCCAATAAATTTGGATTCCTGGAGCGAAGCCATGGCATGTTTTCCACTGTATATATCTGTCCCATGTCTTGTTATGTCAATAAATATATCATCAAGTCTTTTTGTTTATTAAACGACCTACGTTGTGTCTTTCTCATACGTTGTGCTTATTGGAAAGTTGAGGTTGCTTTAATTTCTTTTTGTGTATGCGTCTTATAGGATGTCCGCTGACACTCGTGAAGAGCAACTAGAAGAAATAGAAG